TACTGATACCTATGCGCATTATGGACTAGTCTTGCTCTCTAGTACTCATAGTCTCTAAAATCCTTGCGAGTTACTCAGTTGCCCTACCTCCTAGATGAGGATCATTCGGCGTCTGTCAAACAAAGGATGACATTGCTTGACTATTCTTTCCATGTCTGTGTGAAATTGTGAGACAAGTGTTGTCCATTTCTAACGCTATCAACTACCTTACAAGGAAACACTGTGGTTGAATTGGGCACTTGGTAGTTTTATTCACTCTGCAGGAGATAGTGTCTGTTGGCTGATTTTGCGGAAGGGATATATTGAAATTGTAAATATTCCCTGATCAGAGTGCATTTCAGGCATATCACGTAGCAGAATTCCCTCTGTCGTTAGAGAGTTTAAGTGAAAATCAATGACGTCAATTATTCGCCATCAATTTCCCTCACTACCACTTTGCCTAGGCATAAGACGATATCAAGTCCCTCAGTAGCCCGTAACACCGTCTGCACATGCAGATGCCTGCAATGATTCACATAATCAACTCTTCACCTCACATTCCAGGAAGGGTTCCTTTCTCTGCCGGTGCTCTACTGTAAGTCGCAAATAACTCTCATTCAGCTTACAAGGCTAGAGTTTAGTAACACATTTGCCAAACCAAAAGACAAATATTCGGTTGACCAGACTGAGCACTGGCGTTTGTGTACAAGTCACTTCCTTCTCATTTGCCATCAGCCACAACGATCCTTTAATGTCAGTGCCTCAAATACAAAACTTCTCGTTATGATGTGATTTAGCAGCCCCCCCCCCGATGGACACTATAATGTTGGCGTTGTGGTTAAAAGGTGGGTTAAAGGTTAAAATTAGGGATAAGGGCTTAGGGTTAGGGGCTAGAGCAACTATTTTTCAACCATTTAAAGTACAACCCCACATTCCCAATAGCTTTTCTTTTGCATACAATTACTTGACCTCGTCGTCTGTACGTTCTCCGGCCCCACCTGTAAAAACCCCTATTAGCACCGGTCCCGTATTAGAGGTGACTCGAATGTGTTTACTTCACATCCGACCCACTTCTCATATCTGATGTATTGTTTCATTCCCTAGTACTTAGAACCACTTTATCTGTAAGATATCAGGTCAAGGGTCAAGATTTGATGAAAAAACGGTGACAGAGAATGAGCGGACACTGAGTCCGAAAGGAATTATTCAAAAATTCAAGCACAAAACACTATGTGCTGGTAGGTCTAGCCGATGTGGTGCTTCGAGCAGGTCAGCCGCATGTATTCTCCTGACTCAAAGGCTTTTTGATCAATGCCACCAAGTTGCTATTCACGATGGAGTCGTGAATGCTAATCGATCCACCTGAGACCCACCGATCATGCTTTTCCCGACCCGTTTTGTCCTTCTTGTGTGCACAGTCTAGGCATCCTGGAATTTGCAGTTAAATCGGGGCGAATTATTCCACGAAATGGGGTTTTTTGCTCCCTTTCAAGATTTCCATATTCATTTCTGGAGCCCACTGCTGATTTAATATTGTTCGGCCGTGTCCCGGTTCCTCAGGGCTCCCTATCTGATTTTAAACAAAATGTGCCTTCCTGCACTTGTCCTTTGAAACACCCAATACTGGAAATCAGCTTTGCAATTTGATTAATTGTCTCATGTTCTGTTAGCTGATATCAGGCTCACAACATCGCCAGTAGTATGCGTTTTGATTCAACACCAATTCGGTCCATTATGTTCCCTGTAACACAGCATGATTTTTAACGCGCTCGATGGCGAAATTTTGTCTGCTGTGCTGCCATTATCACCTGCTTTTCATAGTTATGCCTCATACTGAAAGATGAAATTATAAAAGTGGCGACGAAATAATCAAACTTCTGATCCAAGGTTTCGGATTTATAAGGGACGATTCTGGAGTATGAAGGAAAAAAAACGAATACGATTTCTTAAAAAGTGATAACATAAAAAGTACCGATGGACAAATAAACGGTAGGAAAGCAGCATAAGATGTTGGATTGAGCTCAGTTCGAAGCGGGAATTTTACATTAAAAATACCAAATCACGAGTTAATCCATAAACAGAGTGTACAAAAAATTGAAAAATCACAATAAAGAAGAGTTGTCTGAGTGAGGCTAGACGACGTGGTGCTTCGAGCAGGTCAGCCGCATGTATTCTCCTGACGCAAAGGCTTCTTGATCAATGCCACCAAGTTGCCATTCACGATTGAGTCGTTGGAAATACCATTGCTCCATGCAGTCGTAGGCCTCGGGGTAGTAGTCCGCGTGCATCTTGTTTGCAAAGAGATGCTGACTGTGTCGCATCTTAGGAACATGCGGGCTGCCGAGTATGCAGACCCCGCGAACATATTTGGTGGGGCAGAATGTATGCCGATCTCCCCAGAGAACATAGCGTCCTGGGTAGCCTTCATTAACTTCCGTTGGCAGAGGGATGTTGAGGCAAGCACCAGGTGCCCCAAGGTGAGCGTTAAAAGCGAGGGTCTGGAAAAAGAGCTCATCTGGATGCAAAACCTCCTTGTCTGACATGACAGCGTCCAAGAGAGGCCGCGACTTAGGACTGTGTAATGCAAATTTGAGGAATTCGCGGCGGAAGGCTCCGTACAAGCTCCCTTTGAACCACTTCATCTGTTTGAATATTGTAAGAAGACATATGCACGATGTGGAGTACATTTATGCAGATAGACTATATTGGGTGACATTCAAGTTGACAATCTTCAGTTTGCTGTTAGCGCTCTCATCACCTGCATTTGTGGTTAGCTGGTGTAAATATGCAGACGGGGGGACTGTGGGTGTATTGTTTAGATGAAAATTTACAAATAATTCATGCATTCCATTGACTACCTCATCCATCGAATCGCCTCAATTCTGTGACAGCCCACGCTAACCTACTGGCGAGCATAGTGGGAAATAACACCGCTCCAAGGACGCACACACTAAGCAGACGGAGATGGGAGCATAAGTTTGCAGCTTAATGATCAGGAGATCAGGTCGAGTTCGAGGCTCGGGTTTTCCACACTTCGGACTTGGGTATGGTTAGCTGACGACGGCTAATAAGCCAGAAATGGCCATTTCAGTCTCCCTTGTCTTTGTCGGTAATATCATTCTGTCTATATATCATGCGCCGCTTTGCGGCTGCTTGTTGGGCTCGAGAGATATCCCTAAAAAGTCAAATTGGCGAACACGTGTTTTCAGTAACTCTTCGTCAGGCCAAAACGTTTACAAGGAAGTTTAAGTTATGCGAATTACATGACTTATAAATGATTCGGGGACAATTAACATCGATCGTTCCCACGCCACTCGCATGACGAGGCGTGCTATGGCGTGGTCGGCGTGTCGTGGTCATTGGGTTCAGGGGGCGAGGAAGGGGGGGGGGGCATAGGCTGTGAGTACGTCGGGTAACTTGTGCACACACCCTGGCATCAGGAGGTTGGGGCGACGTTGGGGTCGGCGTCGGCCACGGAAGACAGAGCGCCTGTGTCAGAGTCTTCTGACAGCATAGCACTGGATTGGCTAGCCGTATAGCCACTGCCTCAGCTGTAGCTAGCACCCGTTGGCGTAGGCCTTTGGAGAAGCTTGCTGGTGTCCGGTAGACAATCTGAAAGGCTTCTTTGGCATCGACTCGGTGATTCGTATCGACAAGATGTGCGAGAATAGAACTCAAGATCGATTTCTTTTCACCTTTGCCTAGCCAGGCCGGTATGTGTTCACGTACTCTCTTTTCTAAGCGCCTCGTTGTACGGCCAATGTATCCTGCTCCACAGGAGCAAGTGAATGAATAAATACACATCGATGTGGCCTGCAACGGGAGTCGGTCTTTACCTCCCAAGCGTAGGAGGGGAGAGTTAGTGAAACACACACGTAAGTTCGCCGCGGGGAAAGCGCTAGTGATCGCTGTCTTCAGACGTCTTTTTACTAGTTCACTTGCTGCGTCCCCTTGAAAAGGAAATCTTATAAATAAGTCCTTCTTTTCTGCAGTTGCCATGGTAGGCTTTGCAGTTCGCTCCCCTATATTTCGGAGGATAAATCTTTCTGGGTATCCGTTTTTGCGGAGTGTATCCCGCAGCTGCTGGAGTTCTGCCTCCACAGTCTCAGGAGAGCAGATACGTCGCACTCTAGCTGCCAATCCCTGGACCAAGTTGCGTTTAATATTAAGGGGAACAAAACTGTGAAAGTTAATGTATTGTCCCGTCCAGGTCTTCTTTCGGAATACTCTACGTTGGATAGACCCATCCTCTTGTCTGTGCAGAAGAACGTCAAGGAACGCAATTTCATTTTTTGCCTTAAATTCTGCAGAGAACGTTAGCGAGGGGTGTGAATTGTTGAATTTTTGAATCAGGACGTCTGTGTCGGTGGTAACATTCGTCAGGCAAAAAGGGACGAATGGGTTCCGTAGGAACGATCGATGAGCGCCCCCTCTACCAAAATCGTAAAAGTAATTTGGACGCATTACAGATTTTCTGATAGTTCTCTTAGAAGAATCCAGGGATCTCGACAGAGTGATAGTATTTATTAAGCTGTGTTGCTGGTATAAGAGCATCATATCTTGTTACCGGCATATAACAGTTATCGTGCGAATGTTAGACACGTTACTATAACACGATACACTTAAGCTGTCACAGCAATGTTACAGACCTAAATAATGTGGCAAGATGTCCGTCAGTAAACGGTTAGCTTGCTGGCTTAGAATATAAGCAGTTGACGGTCCCTAAATGCGTGCTCCTACATTTCTTTTACTGTGACTTACAACGCGGCACTGAGAATTTTCATTTGGTTCAAGGTTAATGTAGACAAAAGCATCTGTGGAATTCGTGTTAGTAGGATGTTGATAGTCATTTCAGTGATCCATTACATCGGGCTTGGGAAGATCGGTTGCGTTTTAACAGGTGATTATCCGGATGCCTCTTGAACACACTCACGACTGGGGAATTAACAACATACAGTGAGTGACCGATCTCATGAAATGTTGGCTGAAATTCTGAAATGCGTCCCCAATCAGGAAGGATTGCCTAGGCGTGGTTGTAAAACTGATTATCTTGAGGCATAATCTTATAATATTTTGGACTCATCAGGAAGTCGGCTTTAAAATACACTTCTTTTGAATCTCCTGAACAGTAGCAGGAGCACTGGCAGGAGCAGGTCGTACTGGGTTGGCCGTTTGTGATTTATTCGCCGGCGTCAGTCTATCTTACCAAATCCCGTATCAGCCTGACCTGGGGCTACATAGATCAACGTTCTTCCATCGAGTCAATTATCTGCTGTCCAGTCGGTTGTGGGTTATCGTGGGCCAGGGTGATCAGTGCAGTGTGAAAAATGGTAGAGGGTTGGCAATAGATCTGGTGGGTGTGGTGGATGGGGCTGAGCTAAGCAATTTAGAGACATCATTGCGCGAAACGATTTGACCATTTCGACTCACCACAGGCGTTAAATCTACGGTCAACGTTTGGTGTGTTTCTTTTGACGCATGACAAATCTGCCTGCCAGCCTCAAACAAATTGTCACGACTGTTGCCATTTGAAGAATATGATTTGCTACCTACGACCTTTTTGAATACAAGTTTAATTCAAATATTCGGCTCCATATCTGCAATGCCATTGCTTGATGATTTCACAAAATATCCACTTTTCGCACCATGTTATAATTTGAACAGCAAATACATGCTTTTCGTTTTAAATCAGCAGTTCTGAACAAATTCGAAACATCGAGCTATTGAATATTCACTGAGTTGACGCGTCAGTCATTTGATGACTTCCTACCACATGCCAAGGCATAGAAGAAAAAGTATCTTAAGGTGTACTATATATGCGGCGGAAAATTACAAAAGGGCAGTGATACAAGCATTAGAAAAATGATTGAGCTGAATAAGCACAGAATAGTACGCTGGATGTATGAAGTAGAGCACCAAGTATGCTGTCGGTATACAGTACGGCATGTTGAACGAACGCGAGGACAATTAGCAGGTAAGGACAGATAACAACAGACCTAACTGTCTTCCGAAACCCAGAATGAAATCACACGTTCCTGCATCACCGAATAGCTGGTGGATCGCAGACAGTCATTTGTCTTAAACTGGACTTCATATTTTCCAATTGTTCGGGAATAGCTCCAAGATTGTTAATTGGCGGCAGCCTGTAGGAACTGCGGTAGCATCTGATGCAGCTGGTCTTTCCGTAATTCGTGGTTCTTCATTTTACCTCACCTTCCCCTTCCTCAACTCACCCTCCTGCGCTCATTCACGCAAAACCAAATTTTCCATATTCTCCTGTTTTTCTTCGCAATCCCCATGACCTCGTCGTTTTTTCTAATAATTGTGCAAAATATTTCAGACATTCCGTGTCCTTCACACCTGCCATCCGCTTACCAGTGGCGGTAAGACGACCACGCTGAAAATTTTTGACGTCAGTACAGCGATTCCCTTCTTTGGAAATAACTGTCACAGAACTCCACAGCGCACAATAACAGAGACGCGCCCTTCAAAGGGCATGCAATTTTGACGCAGAATGTCTCCTGTGCTTCGAAAAAGAAGGGTTTGAATACGTAGGCAATGGTTACACAGAGGCGGCATATTTAACCGCATTTATAGGCACAGTAACTGAAACTATTCTTTACTTTCAATTCTTACTCTATAAAGCTGACGCTCATTAAACAACTCCGATCAGCGCATATATGACAGGTACTTGGGCCTGAGTGAGTGCGGTGAAGTGTCTATCCAATGGATGCATTGACGGATGCAGTGGATGCGTAGGGACTACTTTCATATGTAGAAAATGCGACAGACGATGAGCAACAGTTAAATAGGCGGTATGGTATTGGTGGATTGAGGTTAAGTGGAGTGGAGCAGAGTGCGTAACTGTGGACAAGATAGTGTCCACTAGCTATCCTCACGTTAGATAACGTCCAGCATTTTCCCATTGCCATTTGAGCATCTCTTACGGGCATGCACCTAATGGACACTTTGAGCTGCCTACCAACTGGTTACTTTCTCAAAAGAACCTATGTCGAGCATTTTAACTGCAGATGTATCATCTACATATGTAACGGTAATGCAGACTGAGTGACAAGTGTGGCTGTTGCCCACAGTGACTGGTTAAGGTATTCAACAGATAACTCACCACCGCGGCATTCCATAAAATGTCTAACAGGGACCGTCATGGAGTGCGATAATTCGAAAAAGGAGGGATCCCAAATCACAGGTCATGGAAGGCAGATTAGATTGCACAAGCTTAAATGATGCGAAGGAGCTTAAATACGGTTCAGCTAGTTATCGTCCCGCTGTACTTTTGCGGTTACGTTGTTACTTCTAATTCTACGCGTCATAGACCGGTTCTTCTTTAACATTGGTGAGTCTGTAGCGTTCATAGCTCCTTCTGTTTCATTCCTGTGCATAACTATTTCCATTCGGATTAATCACTCTACTTTTTATTGATTTAGCCCTTATTTGCTATTCACGCTGTCTCACCTTTTCATCCAATACGAGTGCCACCCTTCACTCTTAGTGCAAAACTCGCCAGTCATCTACCCCAATTATCTGATCTCTGTCTGACATCGGCTAATTATGCTCAACGATTCTACCAGCCAGCGGATAGCCTACATTAACATCTTTGATCCTCCATTCGTCTGGCCTTGTGACATCGCGTTATGGTTGCTTGCTGTAGAGTCCCGTTTCGCCCTCCACCAGACTGCACGAGAGGATACGCAATTTCACTACGTCGTGGCAGCACCCCCAATGGATATCGCCACCGACCTTCGCGACATCATAGATTGTCCGCCCACCGAAACACCTTAAACTACCCCAAAGGGGACACTCATCTGCCGCACTTGCTTTTCAACGCAAGAACATCTGCAACGTTGGAATTCTTAAGAGGTCCTTGGTGGTAGGGAGCCTTCGCGGCTTCTTAGGCGCTTGGATCAGCTGGCGGGGGACAAAATCTGGATGCCACCATGTTCAAGCAACTTCTCCTCCAACGGCTGCCCTCTTCTGTGCAAGCTATTCTTGCGCCTAGGATTCCTTCTGCAACAGATCAGATGCTCACAGAGGCTGCTGACCGTATACTCGGTAAATTTTGCTAGTTAAAGTGAAACTGCGCCTACAATCGAGAATGTCATGAAACGCCTAGAAGACCTCACACTTGAAGTTTCCCAGCTTCGTGCTTCACGTGTCTCTCGCCCTCGAAGTCCGTTCATTTCTCGCCGTCAAATGTCTGCCATTGCAGTGCCAGCCCCGTCCACACCGAAGAGTTTCTGCTGGTACCACCACATCTACGGCTTAAAAGCCATCACTGTCAATTCCCATGCCGTTACAAGAAATCTTCGACGGAAAACTCACCTGCCGACCAGTAGCGGCGACGAACTTGGTCGGTTCAACCTCCCCAATTTGCCTGCTCCACATTTTCGACTGGAGTTCCTCCCGTAAGTTCCTCGTAGACACTGGTGCTGACATCAGTCTAATTCCGCTCCTTCCGACTGACCCTCAAGTCGCCCAACCCTTCAATTTTTCTCTAGGCGGCCAATGCTACTCCCATTAAAACATTTGGTCAACGATCCTTACCTTTAGACCTTGGCTTAAGACGTTCTTTCGCTGGATATTTACCATTGCTAATTTTCCTGCCGTCATTCTCGGTGCCGATTTTACATCCCTTTCAGGTCCTATAAGTTTATCGACCTGATGACATTCTTGCATTTTAATTACTCAATTCGTACTATTTCATCCCCTAGGCCATGCATTTTAGCAATTGCTTCGTCCACTGCGCATCATCGTTTGCTTTCGGAATTTCCATCTATCACCCCGCCTTCGCAGCTTGACCAACCTGTTAGACATTTAGTTATGCATTGTAGTTCGACTACGGAACCACCTGTTTTTCGCCGCCCTCGCCGTTTCGGGGCTGACAAGTCAGCTATCACCAAGACTTAATCCAGTCATATGATGGAACTTGGCATACTTCGGCCTTCCACTGGTCCATGGGCCGACCCTCTGCATATGGTTTGCAAAAGACTTTCACGAACTGTCATCCATGTGGTCATTACCAATGATTAAACAACTGCAAAATATCCGCTTCCCCAGTTACATGACTTTTCCTCTTGCCTAGCCGGAGCAACAATATTTTCAAGCATTAAACTCGTAAAAACCTTTCACCAAATTCCCGTGGCTCCAGATAATGTCCCAAAAACGAAGATTACGACATCATCTGGTCTTCCCGAGTTCGTCAGGATGCCTTTTGGACTCCATAACTCCGCCCAAACTCTCCAACGTTTCATTAACGAAGTCCTCCGCGACTTACCTTTCGCTTTATTATGTTAGTGACCTTCTAGTTGCAAGTCCCAGAGAACATCAGCACCTACATGACCTATGTCTCATTTTTGAGCGGTTTAACTAATTTGGCATTTTTATCAAAGCCTGAAAAAACGTTTTTAGGCGTTTCCTCGCTATTGTTTCAAGGACACCGCGTAGATGCTGTCAATTGTCATCCCACAGACGCTAAAGTTTCAGCTATTCTCGTTTTACTCGTTCCCGCTTCTTTCCGACAATTGCGACGTTTCATCCCTGTCTGCGCTCAACTAGTGTTACCCCTTGCAAATCTTTTGTGTGCAACAACCGCGAATTGTCTTTTTCTGAAACAGCCAGGGATGCTTTTCAACGTGTCAGAGTAACCCATGCGGATACAACTGCTCCTTCTCACCCTCCAACTGATGTTCCGCTGTCCATTGTTGCTGGCGCCTCCAATTGCGCCATAGATGCAGCTTTCCAGCAACAGACCCCAATGGGCACCTAAGCCCTATTCGTCTACTTTGCTAAGCTGACATCCCCCCCCAATCTCGTTATAGCACTTTTGGTAGAGAACTCCTTGCCATTTATCTCTCAATGGAGAATTTTCATTACTTTGCTGAAGGCAGAGATTTTTGTGTTTACGCTGACTATAAACCTCTTACTTAGGCCTTCTCCACTCCCTTCGACAAGTATTCGTCCCTTGAGGATCACCATCTTGATTTAACCTTTCAATATAGCACGGTTATTCGGCTTCCTACAGTTTGTTGACACCGGCCGCACTACTGCCCGTAGCCCGTGAAACAGTCGGCTTTCCGAACCCGTCTACCAGTCGGTGATGGAACTGGGCACAGTGGCTGGCGCGGTATAGGCGTGTCACCACCCCACCCGCCATGCGCGTAATCTGTGCCGCCCGATTAACGCCTGACGTGATCCAAGCTGCATTCCGTTTCGGTTCAGCACCTCCAAAGCGCAACCCGCTGTGGAGTTTCGCAGCAAGGTGGACATTCATAGGGGGCGCTCACTGATCGTTCTTACGGGACTCACTTCTTCCGTTGTGTATTACGGGCTCTTTCTCTGGCCCAACCAGCAGTCGCACGGCGGCCGCACAGTGGACATACCGCATATTAGAAAATAAAAAATGCTAACGCAAGTGCCATCTGGCTGGTTACTTAAGCAGTAACTACGGAAGGGGATTATGAAACAAGCAGTACAAGTCAACAGAGGAGCATGAGAACCGAGTCATCTACAACAAAAATTGAACCAACCCACGTAAAGTACTATGGATATATCACCCGACGCATTTGAACGATTTGAGGTTTAAAAACGAAAGTCAGGAAAATGGAAGAGAATCTGCGTATCCCAGGTTCTTGTTTGAAAGACGACGAAGGCATGATCACTGGGACGGTAGATTTATTGGCCTGAGCTTTCGAAGTCGAACTGGAGTTCATAATCAGAGACTGCTAGAGTGCAGCAACGTGTAAACATTTATATCGTTGTTCCGTGCGGGGGGAGGAGACTACGTCCGTGACTAGGTGTGGTTCGTGCCGCCTGGTTCCCAATGATCCCCCGGAGTGGTGACGCCGTTTGTACTTCACGGCGATGTGAGCTGCGCCACCTGGCTGCGTGGGCGTAGTGCATTATAACACGCAGGCAAGTCAATGTGTCTATTGAGAGAACTGGTGTCCGACGCCCACGCATCCAACAGTTCTCGCCCCGTCTTGATGCCGGCTCGCGCCAATATCCGCGTGTTGGCAAAGTCAAACTCATGGCCTCCCTCCAGCGTTTGAGTGGCGACTTGAGATAGTGGGTCGCCTCTTCGAACGACCCGTTTGTGCTCAAGTATTCGTGAGCTGAGACGTTGCCCTTTTTGGCCTGTGTACTGGCACGGACAGTTATGGCACGGGATTTGATAGACTACGCCTAACTGCTCACCTGCGTCCAGCCGATCCAACATTTTCATGATCCTGCTATGCATGGTTGCCGCCGGATGATAAGCGATGCCCACGCCTAACTCCGACGCAATGCCTTCTGTAGCCTCGGACACATTCTTTATGTACGGTAGGGAGTGCCAAATTGTTGGTGTCTCTCTTCCGTTTGTCCGTCGGGGGTGTGTGCGTATGCAGCGGCTGATGAAACTATTTGAGTGGCCGTTCTCTGTTAATTGGTCCCGAAAATGTCGTAGTTCGTTCGTCCTTCCTTCGGGCTCGCTACAGTGCGTTTTTACCCGCTTGAAAAGCGCCCTCACACAACCCCGTTTGTGCACCAATTAGTGGTTGCTATGATAGTTGAGCACAAACGGCGTCACCACGCCGAGGGGCCATCGTGGGCAAGACGGCACAAACCAGACTTAGCCACGGACGTAGTCACCTCCCCCCGCACGGAACAACGATATAAATGTTTACACGTTGCTGCACTCTAGCAGTCTCTGATTATGAACTCTAGTTCGAGTTCGAAAGCTCAGGCCAATAAATCTACCGTCTCAGTGATCGTGCCTTCGTCTTTCTTTAGTCAGTTAAATACACGTAGTTCAGTGATTCGCAATGCTAATAACAAAACAAGAAACTACGACGCAAGAGAAAGATGCAATTTCTCAGAATTGACAGCCATTAAACACTGTTCGAGAAAGGTAATTTCTCGCCCACCGATGTTGTATGTATTCCAGGCTACGAACCACCACAATGGTAAGTGGGAGAAGGCTTATAATCCAGTGATCTGCCTATCCGGTGCAAATAAATAGTAACAATTTTAGCGTAAATTACCAGATGGGTTTTTATGCATCAATTGCACCTGGCAAAGTTCTACAGCCTGACCACAGGCTCCCATTCCCTCGGCTACAGTCAGTAATAGGCAAAGTCGTATGAGATGCCAGCTATCTACTCCGATTGCCAGGCGGAATAGCGACGTTACGTTTTGTCTTTTCAAACGTCGAAACTAACACAGCCGGAAGTCAGTTGCTCAATCTCGGGGAGGAGTATTATATTGAAATGTCTGGTAAAAGCTGCTGCCCTATTTTCTGTTTATGTTATGACAGTAAAACGTCGGACAAATGTGCGTCATCTTAGAGGTTCTCATCTTTCCTCTTCAACTTGTTTATTTCTTCTTCTTTTTCTAATCTCCGTCGTCAGTCTTATTTGTTGACCTCCGGATGGTGAAAATTCGGCATCCCGGACGATTTGCAGTTGCGTATCCATGCAGTAAGAGAAATGGGAGAGATTGCTGTTGAGAGGAATAACTCCTTGCCTAGCTTGTGCTTACAAAGTGATGCACTACAGAACTAGCAAGGCGAATTCCTTGATTTACGTCTTTAAAAACAGTTTCCTCGTTAAAAAAAATTGTAGGTGCTCTTATCAACAACCACAGTCAAACGACCATGGAAGAAAGGAGACTTGCCGGCTTGGAAGTCTGGTTGTGTATTCACTCTCTCCCTTGCTCCGTAGTACCAGGCTGGGCTTCTTGGCCCAGGACCCATACTAGGCAAAAGTCTTTCTACTTTTTGACTCCGACATCAGGCAGAATTGCTGGCAGTGAATTTACCTGCTGCAGACAAGCCTCACCTTTCTACCTGCCCTGATAGGTGTGTAGGCAGCTGACGGTGAGGGGGCGGACCTCCAATAATGCACTGGGGCATTCACACGGCTGTTTCGATAATAATAACAAGGGCATCAAATTTTCAAAGTGCTTACAAAAAATGCAAACGCTCGAAAAAACGCGCTCACGAGAATCTCAAACTGTTCTAGTTTCCATTTCGCATAAGGCAATACGCAGTTGAGTTCGTGAACAATTGGCAAAGCATTGCACTCGAAAGTTTTGGTTGAAATCCGTGTGCAGATTTGTATGCAAAATATTCGGAAATCATGTGAAAACAATCATTTGCAGCGGAATTGCCAGCAAAAATTGATAAGATTTTCTCAATGAACAGGGAGTTGTTAGGATTTGGCGTGTGTGTGCAAAACACACCACGAAATAGGGTTCGCATATCCCTGCGGGGTACAAAGGAGACGAATTGCAAATTGTGACGTTCATCTAGGCAAGTAGTGCTTTTTGGCACTAGAAGAGTTCATGTATATGATGAAGGTCAAGGAGGAAGTCTAAATTACTAGCCGTGGTGCACAGCACTGGTAAGAAATTTGAGTAAAGAAAATGCAATCGGGATTACTTCGGAGGTGGATAGTTAAAAACACTGCCTGGTCTTTTTAGTTGTCCACCAGAGGATTTATAAGCAAATTCAAAACCAACAGAACATCGATGGACACCTATCGTGGGTTAATCATTATGCGTGCTTCCTAGTCTTGGAGGTGGAACTTTTCAGATGACAAAGCCACGAAAAGACACTCCATAAAAACAAATCGGACTGTAAATCGCGGTTTAAGCCGAAGAATTATCTGAGGTTAAATCCACAGTTCAGCGACCGCAATAATGACCGGCACGGCAAGTCACAGTAAGAAGGCGTGTGGGTGAACGGCTGCATTATGGTGTAAACTGTTTGTTTTTTGTTCGTCCACGCATCTATGTGGATGGGGTCGAGCACTTCAGAGGTGTCCTCAACCGCCCATCCGCAATCTCTGACGTCACCATCGACCGACGCCTTCAAGTGGAAACAAATAACAACCTGGATGTTCCGCCTTCTCTCCCATAAACAATCCGAG